AACCCTGGCCACTGCTTCTGCAGCCAGGGCTGCTGTTAGAAACCATGGGGCCCCATACAGCCAGCCTGACAGGCCCCCCCCCAAAAAAAGTTTACTATGTTTCTGTCATGAATGAACACAGTAAGCGATCGGTACCAATAACTCATTGTGTTCATTCAGGAAAGAAAGTGGTTGGTAAATGTGGTGTTTGGGAGGGGGGGGGGGGGGGCAATTACTGGAACTGATCCCCTATATGCTAAAGCATATAAATAAGCGAGCGCCTTCCAAATAGCAGCAGCTGTACACCAAAGGCACCATATAAGGCCTTCCAATACACAGTAATATACAAAAAGGTGCAGCGCTAAAACACAAATAAACAAACGTGTATATACATGTACAAACTCATGCAAAGGTATAAGGTGACACTGTGCATTCAAATATACGCCACTATATTGTGGATAATAGGACGTGAGGAAGGATTATTATATCCAAAGGTAAGTCCAGGGTGAGGATGTGAATAAGATCTCAACCGATCTATGGCTCTCCAAACGACACAGACTGTGTGCACGGTGAAAAACAATGGGGGTACAGATTACGCACTCACCAGATGCGCAACCTTTGTGCGCTTTTCTATAACATGGAGACTTCCAATGTCTCAACTAAGGTCTGGTCAAATCTGGTCAGGTCCCCTTCTTTATCCAACGCCTTGCACTCGGCCTTCTCCTTAGATGATCGCCACTCTCCAAATATACCTGGCTCCACAGGAGCTCAGAAAAATATATATATTACTGATCCCCTATATGGCTCTCTCTGCACTTTCAGCTGCTGCAGAGAGAGCCAAGGGGGATTGGGTTCAATAATTGCCCCCGCCACATTGTGCTGATCACCCTCCCTGCCCACATTCAATCCACCTAGCTGCATGGGTCCCCCTGCTGGCCTGGGCCCCGTACAGGAGAACTGGTGGAGCCTCCTTATCCATGGTCCTGTCTGCAGCTAAAGGGAGTGCAGTTGGTTCACATCTGTGCAGCTGTATGCTGCATGTAGGGCAGCCCATTCATTTCAATGACGCAGAAACACTGGGAAAGGAGTCTCCTAGCCTTTTTTTTAAAAATTGCATCACACTGTCAATGGATGGGAGTAACCTCAAGAAATAATAAGTGCAGCGTGTTATTTCAATACGTCAGATTTTGCTGTACTGTGAACCAAGCCTTACCCCTAGTTTATATATGTGTGGCCGCGTGGGCAGTGATTTGCGTGGGCACAAGAGCCCATTCATTTGACTCCCGTGCCCCGGGACATGCAGGGAAGAAGTCCCTGCACTACTTGGGAAATCTCAGCCCATACGTGAACCAAGGTTTCCAGTACGGTTACGATTTCCTGTGTGGGTGGAATGCGATTATAATGGCTGGTCCCACATTCCTCTGTGCGGGTGGTGCGGCTGCACATATTTGTGCAGGTCCCAAAGTGGCACCACCTGCACACATGTGAACCAAGCCCTAGACTGGAGTGAATTGAGAAATATTTTTCAACATCAGTGCCGTGACTGGAAAAAGAATGAGAGACACTGCAATAGGGAATATATTTGGCGTTATCTGTTGGGTTTTTACCTTCACATGTTTCCTTATTAGGGAGATTTCCTCTCACTTCCTGTCAGGACAGAAGATAATGGAGAACCACTCCAATAGATACACAGACATATGCACAAACAAGTTTCTGATAAGATGAGTAGGAGTTTGTTTCTATTGTTCATATTGCTGTTGGTGCCTTACTGTCCTCCTTGACAATAGTTACCCGTTTCTAATTCCTCAATTCTTAGCTGCTCTGCTGAAGCAGCTTGTGCTTTGGATACTCTAGCTATAGTTACGCCCAGGGGAGGACTGACCATTTGGAAACTCGGACACTGCCCGAGGGCCTGGGGTCAGTAGGGGGCCCCATGAGATGCCCCTGGTACCTTTTTCATAGGCTTTTTTGAGTTTGGGCAAGGACACAGGTGCCCCATGATCCCCTATTGCCCAGGGGCCCCATGAGTTGTCAGTCCGCCCCTGGTTACGCCACTTCACACTTCCTTATGCCTTGCTGGTTGCTTCATCAGTGTGATTGGTCTAAGCTCAGGGGTGTATTTACCACAAGGCAAACAAGGCATGTGCCTAGGGTGGCATTTTTCAGGGGGGCAGCACTGCCCCTTGGAAGAAGGGATGGAAGAAGGGACATACATGGGGACCTGGTGGATTCCGAGAGATGCAGTGGGTTTCATGACAGTGTGTATGCACAGCCCAACTCTCGTTCCTGGGGATGCCAAGACTGTGAATGTGAGTGTCTTTCTCTCTCTCGCCATGGGGATGGCGTGGGGGGGCAGTGGTAGTGGAAGGCTCTGGTGGAGGGCAAGGTGGCTGTTCATCACTGTCAGGCTCTTTCTGCGAGGGGGGCGCCAATGTTTGTGTTGCCTAGGGCAGCACAAACCTAAATGCACCACTCTCTAAGCTGTATGGTTACCTTGAGTATGAGCAGCAGGAAAGATACATTATAACTTTCCCTCTTGTTCATGGTCCCCCCACCCTTTACTCACTGGAGCCCCTCCTTCCCCAACCCTTTATCTAAGAAAAAATATGTATCCATTCCTTATTTTTCAGGAGTGTTTGGCTTGGTCATGTGACATCACAGGTCATCCTCGCCCTCTTTTAAATCCAAAAGTGGGTCAATTCTAAATGCTGCAGAGAGCAGTGCCAGATCATTACCACATGGAAGAAAAATATATTTAAAATATATTTTAAAAAATATTCTTCCCAAATATATTGACATATACTTGAAATGCTACAATTTTGGCCATATTCAATATATTTCAAAATATATCTCAATATATACTGCATGTTGAAATGCATTTTTATTACAAATGTATGAAAAATAGTTTTAAAAATACATTTAAAATATACTGTATGTCTTTAAAAATGCAAATCTACATTTTATGGAATGCATTTACAAATATATGTAAAAATATATGTTAAAATGACTTTTTATATGTTAACTAGCTGCCGACCGCAGATAGCCGAATGACGGCTGCACTGCGGCCGGCCAGTTCTGAGTGGACGTCATATGACGTCCTCCCAGAACATGCTCTCCTGCGCGCCCCAGGGGGTGCGCACCCGGCGATATCCATGATCGCTGTGTCCTACGGACACAGCTGATCACGTGATGTGGTAAAAGGCCAATCACAGCGGCCTTTTACCACGTGATCAGCGGTGTCCAATGACACACTGATCACAGGGAAATGCAAGTGCCGGTTCTCGGCTGCACTTTCCTCACGCTGTCAGATCGTGAGGAAAGTACTGCCGAGAACCGGCAGTTGTCAGAGCGGGGATCGGCACCGATCATCAGGGCCCTGATGATCAGCGCCCTGATGATCGGTGCCCAGCAGTGCCACCCGCAAGTTCCGCCCACCTGTGCCCAGCAGTGCGCCCACTAGCTCCGCCCACCTGTGCCCAGCAGATCACCCACCTGTGCCCAGCAGTGCACCCACCTGTGCCACTCTGCAGTGTCACACACCTGTGCCCAGAAGTGCCACCTACCTGTGCCCACCCACCTGTGCCCACCAGTGCCACCCACCAGTGCTGCCCACCAGTGCCACCCACCAGTGCAGCCCAGCAGTGCTGCCAGTCAGTGCCACCAGTCAGTGCCCAGGGGTTGTGCCAGTCAGTGCTGCCAGGCAGTGCCCAGCAGTGATGCCAGTCAGTGCCGTCTATCAGTACCCATCATCAGTGTCACCTATCAGTGCTGCATATTAGTGCCGCCTATCCGTGACACCTCATTAGTGCTGTCTATCAGTGCCGCCTATCCGTGCCACCTCATTAGTACTGCCTATCAGTGCCCTTTAGTGCTGCCTATCAGTGCCCATCAATGCTGCCTCATCAACGCACATCAGTGAAGGAGAAAAAATACCTGTTTGAAAAATTTTATAATAGAAACAAAGAAACTTTTTTTTTTCAAATTTTTTGCACTTTTTTTAATTTATAGCGCAAAAAGTAAAGTGCCCAGTGGCGATTAAATAGCACCAAAAGAAAGTCCTATTTGTGAGAAAAGAATTATCAAAATTTCATATGGGTACAATGTTGCATGACCGCGCAATTGTCAATCAAAGTGCGGCAGCGCTGAAAGCTGAAAATTGGCCTGGTAAATAAGGGGGTATAAGTGCCTGGTAGGCAAGTGGTTAAAAAAAATCTGAAGAATATATTTTTATAAAATATATATATTTTTTAAATATATTCTTCAAGTTTTTTCTAACATATAAAAGTCATTTTAACATATACTATTTTTAAATATATTATTTCTGCCACATCATTCCCACAAGGAAGAAAAATATATATTAAATATATTTTAAAACTATGCTTCCCAAATATATTGAAATATACTTGAAATGCTACAATTTTGGCCATATTCAATATATATATATATATATATATATATATATATATATATATAGATAGATAGATAGATATATCTATACATATATACTGCATGTTGAAATGCATTTTTATTACAAAATATATATGTAAAAAATATTTTTAAAACTACATTTCAATTATACAGTATGTCTTTAAAAATACAAATCTACATTTTTGGAATGCATTTAGAAATATATGTAAAAATATATGTTAAAATGACTTTTTTATGTAAAAAAAAAAATCTGAAGAATACATTTATTTTTTAAATATATATTCAGGCTTTTTCTAACATATAAAAATTTTTTTTTTATAAAAAATGTATTCTTAATGTAATTTTATTTTATATAAATATGTATATATATAATATATATATATATATATATATATATATATATATATTGTGGGAACTCGCTTCAAAGTGGTAGAGCTTTTAAACGCACACAGCTACTCACTTTCTTTTTTAAGGCCTTTTTTAGCCCACTTTTATTTAAATGAACAGTTCAATAACATAAGAGGTTCCCACGCAGGGGTATCCACCATCACACAAAACAAAATTCAGCCTCCTGGCTTATACTCAGCTTGATGTCTGCCTCCTGCAGACTTCAAGACACGGCTCTTGCACACCGCTGGCCACTAGCACACAGCTAGTCTCTAGCAGCCCCTTGCTGCTTTTGGATTCCACCTCCCCTAGGTGAAGCCCACCTGACTCCTATCTGCTGGGGTGGAGCCCAGAACCTTGGTCCTGACTCTATGAAGAGGCCTGCACACACCTGTGCAATCAGTCTCCTGGCCATTCCCAAAACCTGGTCCCAGGATTGGAGATTTCATCCCTCCCAGATCTCTTTGAAATCTCCAGGCTCCAGATCCCAAAACAGACCTTACAAACAAAGGAGGAAAGTGAAAAGCCACTTTCCTCCGTATCAAACCTTTACCCTGGAGCCCCTCAACCTGCCTTGTTGAGAATCCAGGGTGACAGATTGCCACACTGTCACAATCTATATATATATATATATATATATATATATATATATATAAATACATTATAAATGCATTTTATATTACAAATACATTAAAAAAATTTTTTTAAAAAAAAATATATATATATATACACATATTTATTTATTTTTTTTATATATATGTGTGTGTGTGTGTGTGTGTGTGTGTGTGTGTGTGTGTGTAATAAAAACACATTTCAACATGCAGTATATATATATATATATATATATATAAATAAATATATATTTTTTTTATAAAAATGTATTCGTAATGTATTCGTATATATATATATATATATATATATATATATACATATATTTATTGAAATATATTTTGAAATATATTGAATATGGCCAAAATTGGAGCATTTCAGGTATGTATTTGGGAAGAAATATATTTCAAATATATTTTTCTTCCATATGGGTCTATGCAGCATTCTACTGAGAGCATAGAGTGGGAGCTTTGATGCCCTGGGCTCACAGGAAGGAGATAAATGACACTGGGCATCATTCAGCCTAGAAGATAAGCAGCTCTGGGTTGAGAAGTGGGTGAATGTGTCAGCAGTGCATTCTTTTTTGTCCAAGTTGAACTTTGGCTTTAATCTAAGAAAAATCTGTAAAATCAGTTCAGAGAAAGCTGTAGAGGTGCAGGATCCTTAATCAAGGGTATACCTATAACAGTAGCATATCAAACAACTGCCATGGGGTAGAAAAGCCCAAGGGACCCCACAGCTCTGTGGCTATACAGTACTATGCAGTTATGTAAATAGCAATAACACCTGACAAATATATTGTACGCATGCTATGAAAGCAATTTATATTCTGTAACCTTAGACAAACTGCCTTTGGGATGGAACAGAGGGGCAGAGGCCCCTCAATGGATATGCAATGGCGCCCCATCAGCCATAGTTATGATCTTATATTAATAATACCAAAATATCCCACAATGATAGAAGGCTGTTAATTCTACATGATCTGCGCCATAGACAGAAACAGTCTTTTTACATCCAGAAAAGTCATCTTAGAAGAGGAAGTTGTAAAGACTTGCCCTATGTTTTGTCCTCCCCACTTTCTCATGCAATCTGGTTCCTTATTTTAACTGAACAAGGAAAACCGCCTGAATTTAAAATGCAAGAATTGTGTCAAAGATCAAAGCTGTTTCTTTGTGTTCCTCCGCCCTAAAACAGGACAGGACAAAGCCTGAGAACAATGATTATGAATCAATGCTCCTGTTCTCCTCCTCCCTCTTCCTGTACAGAAGCCTCTGGGAGTCATGGCTTCCTCTGATTTACATCAGAAAAAGGGAGCTTGTAACATTTTTATTTCTCCAAAGGCAACTACAGTATATATAGATTCTGCTATTACCTGTCTCTTGTGGCCTTGTGTAACTATTGATCACCTGGTTTGTGTCTGACATTGACTGCAGGCTTTAAAGTGCATAAAATGGAAATGGTGTTTTTTCATGGTGTGAACAGGTGCTCTTTTTACAGCACAATACTAATGTTAAATGTTTTGTGCTAAAAAAAATAATTTTGAAAAACTTAAATGCATAACATTACTAATGTTGTTTAAAATAAATATGCCTGCTTTCGACACTTTGGACAAGAGGGCACTGTGCTCCACATATGGTGGAAATGTCTGTTGGTTCATAGATTTTGGGTCTGGATATTTAACTTAATTTATTCGGTAATGGGAATTAATATTCATAGATCACTGGAAGTAGCCTTATTTCATCTGTTGCCCACTGATATTCCCAAGAAATCAGTTAAATTAATTATTTATCTTTTGTTGACGGCACAAATTACTATAGCTAGATGTTGGAGACAGTCATCAATTCCGTAAGACTTGGTCAAACAGAAACTTAATTGGATTATGATAAATGATAAATTTACCAGTATCGTAAACAATAATACTTTTAAATTTGAGGTTACATGGGATCCATGGATTAGATACAGTATACATCGATTATTTAATGGACCTATAGCTGGCCCTCTTCTCTTCTCTCTTTTCTTTCCTTCCTCTTTTATTCTTTCTTCTCTCCTTTTTTTTCCCGATATATTCTTTATCCTCTTCTTCGACTCTTTCTGTTTAATTTTTTCGGTCTCCTTATTTTTGTTAGATGGTTATATGAAACTGCCCGTGTTTACTGACCGATGGAATATTTGCTACCCTACTGGGGTTGTGTTTTCTTGTTTACAACATCATTGGTTGATGTATTCTTATGTGCCTATATATTCCATGAATCTGCTTGTTTGTCACAACTCACCATGTAGGTGAGCTATGTTTTCTAGTTTTCTGTATACTACTTTTTACAATAAAAATATTGAAATATAAAATAAATATGCCTGGAAACACAAAGTTGTGTATTTCATACAACCATCCAAGCTGGATATATTGGCCCCCTGTTGTAGATTTCAGTTCTTTGTACACCTGCTGCATGGTTTACTTTTGGCTGGGCAGTGTTCACTTATGATGCAAGAAGTATTATGGATGTTGTAACAGAAGTCTATGCTTAAAGTGTTACTAATACCACTATAGTAAAATCAGTCTATATATGCAGTAAAGCATGCTTGTTAAACTCTCTGTGGAGCCTAAGGGGTTAATCCTTTGTAAAAAGGCTGTTGTCAACACTTATAAGACAGACTGAACTCGTAGCCCTTCTGCACATTGCTAGAGAGGTTTTTTTCTTTGAAGAGTGCATGTGATCAACACAGGGCCAATCAACACTGTCCAGACAGAGGTCAGGGGTTCTGCATCCTCCTAGAGCAGAAAAAAACTCCTCCTACAAGCTTTAACCAGTGCTCTGCTGAAGTCACAAGACTGCTCTAACTGCTGATGAGAAAAAGGTGTTTAGCAGTTTATATTTAATAAAATAATTGCATTTCCATTTTGTGTGTACTGTGGGAGACCAGATATAGTAATGCAAGGTCCTGGGTTTAGTAACACTTTAAAGTCCTGAACTCCAGGCAGATATATTAACTGATCTGCACGACCGTTGATGCTTATAAAATCTCGACATTTATTAAAAAAACCACAGTGTATAGTGCACAGAAATACAATTTAGTTGATGCGTTTCTGCCTACATGGCTTTAATCATAGCATTAACCTCTTTACGCCAGCCACACGCAAATGTGCGGCCTCCCGGCGTCTGGGCCTTGACACAGAGCGGCCGCACATTTGCGTGCAATTAACAAAAACATATGTGCTGAGAGTGCGCGACCTGCGCGCTCCCAGCACATATGTTCGGTACTCACGGAAAGGTCCCGATCTCCTCTTTCGATCGGGACCTTTCCCGATCATGTGACCGCCGTGATGGTGAATCACGGTTGTCACATGACCTTAAAACTCTGCCCCACCTCCCGGCTTCTAAAACCTTTAAAGGGCCGGGAGGCATCGGCGCCAAGGCTTTAAGATATTATAAGCACCAATTGTGCGGATCAATTAGATGGATATACTACTTTCAGATGAGTGACTAATTATTGTGCAACCATGATCTTTATAGGTGGATTAATGGGCAGTAGCATAGTTTCTTTTCTTTATATAAGAGGCAGATTAATGCAGCTTTGTATCAAGTAAAACACCCTTAAATTATTTTAAAATAATAAAAATATTACTGCTTAAATCCCCCCCCACCCCCCTCACAAACCTGTGTCAGTCGGATCAGGATGTGAATTGACTGGTGCAAGACACACAGGATCGGCTTGTCAGGCTCTAGTAGACTTCAACAAAATGGTGGCTGTCTGCACACAGACACCGACTCCCTGTTGCATAAACGTGAATGAGATAGGTAAAAGATGGCTTCAGCGCCTCTTCTTCACCTGTAGAGAACACCTAAGATGTGTTTCCCCCGTTTTGGGGCTTAATCATAGAGTCCTCATTGATCAGACTCTGGCAAAACACGTCTGAAGAGTTCTCTACAGGTGGAGAACAGGAGCTGAAGCCATCTTTTACCCATCTCATTCACGTTTATGCAACAGGGAGTCGATGTCTGGGTGCAGATGACTACTATTTAGTTGAAATCTTTACATTATTCTTCTTCTTAATGCAAACAGTGTAAGCACCTACTCTTGAACTGGCATCAGCCTCATGCAGCCCCTATACAGCAAAGCTCAGACTGGGATAGGAAGAAGCAGTACCAGTACCTAATCAGGTGTGCTGCAACAGGGAGCATACTGATAGGGGGATAGAGCAAACTGACAGAGATGAGCATATTAGTCTGCTGCTTCTCTTTTACTGTCCAGTCACTATTCTAGAACTGCAGTAGAGGAAAATTGGCTCTTAGCAAAGTGTGTGTGTTTTTGGGGGCGGGGGGTTGGCAAGTAAGGGTAAGTTTATGCTACTGGGTGTGTTTGCCTTCCTCTGATCAACTGAGGGTATAGGATTATAACTTTTTTTTTCTTTGGTTGAACTGGATGGACTTTTGTCTTTTTTCAGCCAGAGTAACTATGTAACTTTGTTAAAACAATAGTAATATGGTTCTCAACAAGAAACACTGACCTGACAATATGCAGGCAAACAGCTGGCATTCATGATGGGTGGGCTACAAATGGACAATTGCTATAATATGACAAGATGATAATCACCAGAGGTGTAGGGTCTCATGTCTATGGTCCAAACAGATGTCTGCCATCTACCCCCTGTATGGGAATGAGTGATTAATTTACAAACTTGCCAACCCTCCATTCCCAATAGTTCTACAGCAGTGTCTTATTATTTATTACAGGTACTTATATAGTGCTGTCAACTTACACAACACTTTACATATTCACATCAGTTGCTGCTCTCAAGGAGAGTGCCATCTAATGTCCCTAACGCACATTCATACATACACATACTAGGGTCCATTTTGACAGAAGCCAATTAACCTACCAGCATGTCTTTGAAGTGTGGGAGGAAACCAGAGTACCTGGAGGAATCCCTCACAGTTACAGTGAGAACATGTAAACTCCAGGCAGGTAGTGCTATGGTAGGGATTTGATCCGA